ATTTTTCTTTTAATTTGGGGAGTATTTTTAGCCAGCCATCTTCTCTGCCTCATCTCCTCCCAGAGTGTGCATGGGCAGATACGTAGCTGTGCTCTGAGAGAGGTGACCCTGCTCAGTCTCCCTGAGTCCCAGATGAATCTCCCAAGCCCTGTGAATAGAGGGACCATGGTGGCGGAGGAAGACGGCCCGAGTGGCCAGTCCATAACTGCTATTGGGTGCCACTGGCCCTCTGGCCCCATTCCCTAATCCCCGTCAGACTCGACGTTTTTGAACGTTTATAAACTTGGGCTGGGCTGGAAGGGACTGTCAGGCGTTCGTCACCTTGCTTATTTCCAAACTATTCCTAACCCTGCTGTTGCGGTGGTTGTTTGACCTGAAGGATGCAGAGAACACTGCTGTCTGCTGTCATCTGTCTTTCTGCTTCACCTGCATAGAGCTAGGTCCCGTGGTAGTGTCCAGCAGTCACTGGGGATAGCGTTGAGGTCACTTATTCTGAGAAGCCCTTGCACAGCCAGTCCCACAGAAAGAAGTCAGCCTTCCTCAGCGCCCAGTGTTGTCTGAGCTGAGTCGTGGGAAAGGACCCAGCGGCGCTGTGCTCTGAGCCAGTAGGCTGCAGCTCACAAAGCCAACCGCTTTGGTTTTGTTTGCATTTTAATAGAAATCTTCAGAAAAAGAAAACAATTTCATGTGTCTCCTAAGGGATAAAAATAAGCAGGTGTAGCGGCCCCGAGGCCATTCACTTCAGTTGCCACAGCAGTGACTCGAGGGCTTTATTAATCAATAGAGTGTAGCTCACTTGATCTGTTCCTTTAAAAGAATCCTCTTTTAAAAGGAAGTGTCGGAAAAGAACTCTCTGGCCCACCGTTGACACAGGAGCAGTCTCCTGGTAAAGGAAACCGTGTGGGGAAGTAGATTCCAGAGAACTGAGGGAGCTAGAAGCCCGCCCTGACTCCGGGGCGCATGCAGCTCCGTTGGAATTGAGAGCTCCCAGTTTTGCAGGTCAGGCAGCTGTGGTCTTAAAGGTGAAATGACAGTCTCTGCCTCTCAGAAGCAGGCATCCTGCTCCACCTGCTCACCTTGGATGAGTCCCCTCGTCCCTTTCTCCTCGTCTTGACTGAAGCTAGTGAGTGGATGGAATAACTGAGCAGGACTTTCCAATAACACAGTTTAATTGTCAGTGTCACAGACTGGGGGAGGGGCTGGGAGTCCCTGGAATCCCCAAGTAGAAGAAGTGAAGTTACTGGAAGAGCATCTAAATGCAACGTGCTAGAGATACCAGATCATGCCGTTGACACCCCAACTAAAAGGAAATTTTAGGCTTTATTAAAATTGGTTAATTCTTCCAAAGGCAGCAGCTAAAGGATGACTTGAGGCAGGGAGGGGAGGGGAGGAGGTTTGCCTGCCACAGGATGGTGACACCCTTTCCTCCCATCTCTTCTCAGCCCTTGCTCAGTCCCTCTGCGGTTAGATTATTCCTTGCAGATAGCAATCAACTGGAAGGAAGTATGTGTGTCTAATTTGCATGAGATTATTTAAAACAAAAAAAAAAAAGGTCTGCATTAGCCAGGGTGATGGTAAACAACGCAAAGAGATGCCTTTTATAATATAGCCCGTGTCTCAGCTTTCAGAGCCAAATATAATTCACTTACAATTGGCAGTTTCCTTTATTATTCCTTTTAACCTTTTGGATTCTGCAAGGTCTCACTCTAAGCTCTCCACTGTTTATCTCACTGGGGCTGGATGGGAACTGGATGTCTGGTGTGTGGGTTCTCGGCAGTACCCCATCCCGGAAGGCAAGGTCCTTTCAGTGCCAGAAGCTGATGACTGGATAGATAACTATTGTGTTCTCAGAGGGGTGACACCCCACCCCACCCCACCTCAGTCTTATGAGCCCCAGGAGAATCACTTGAGTCTTGTAAAGTCCTAAACCTGGTCAGTCTTCCCTAAGCTGGGGAAACTCGAGAGGAAAAGGCCACTAAGGGAAGCGTAGGCACCAGTCTGTGAGAGGCTTTTGGATTTATTTGATTAGAATATTAGAATAAGATAAGGTCACTCTACCTTTGTCACTCTGGTGTTGTTTAAAAAGTTGTCCAGGTGTTATTTGCAGGTAGGACCCAGGTGTTCAGTTCCTGTGTTGTTTTGGTATGGCTCCCAAACAACATTCATTGGCTTTTCCCTATGGATGGGGTGCTGGTAAGGAGAATGCGGGGAGACAGTTTAGTCCTGATACCTTCTTTAACAAAATTGAAGATTTAAGACATCATTTCAGAATCTGCCATTTGATGTGCTGTAACTCTGTGCCATGGTGGGAAGCCACAGGCTGGAGATGGAGAGCCAGGGGTTCCACCTGGAATTACCATGCCTTTACTAGTATGATTTGAGGCGTATTTTTCACCCTCTTTGGGCCTCAGGTTTTTTTATCTGTTAACTAAGGGCAATGGCTAGGATAATGGCCTGGCTCTGATATTATATTTATTCAGCAAGATCATTAAAATGCTTATTTTTCGAAAAGGAGAAAAATGGTTCATTTTCTGTAACAAAATCAAAGTCCTGACTCTCTGGAGAACCAGGGATATCAGAATTCCAGCCAGTGTAAATTTAGAGCATCAGATGGTAAGGTCTCTGTAAAACAAGAGCTTGGAAGGAAGTGCCGATGCCCTTTACTCTGTGGCCTCACTGGTGGACTCGGCTGCAATAATACAATGAACATGTTTTATTAGGAAAATAGGCTTCGTAAAAGCTCAGGGCCGGAGGGCAGAACAATAGGCGGGGAGTCCTGTCCCTTTAACTGGCTCCAGCTCTTGGGGCCGCAGCACAGCCTGTAACTTACTGTATATTTCCCCAGCGTTAAACATTATCGTACTTGTTTATATTTGAAAGAGCCAAAAGGGAAAATGAGAATGCAACTGAATGCTCCTTTTGGGAAAATTATCCTCATTTGCAGCCAGCGGCTGACAAGGCGCACGAACCACCAGGTTTGTAAAATTCCGTTGTGTCCGGTGACCACCAGGCTCGTGCTGATGTCGCACGTGCCACTTTCTTCTCTCATGGCTGCTTATGACCAGTTAAAACAGTATCTTTCCTACCAGAACTCTGAAGGGGGTTCCCCTTCCTACTTAGAAGGAGTGACTGGCAGTCGGTACACAGGCTGGAGCCCGAGAGGCGTTCGCTCTGGGAAACGTGTTCTCCGCCTTTGCTGGCTCGTCTGTCTGTACTGCCCCTGTTCTTGGGAGGTGAAATCACAGTAAAGCGATCCTTTTGCAGCAAGCTGGGGAATTAGGGAGGAGGAACAGCCCTGTCTAGCCCCATGTGCTCAAATTCAGCTTTAGTATTTAAAGGTGCTAAGTGCTAACAAATGATCCTCTTTGCACCCTGCCAGCCTTTCATCTGCTCTGTCAGTCTGTCGAGAGGATGATGCACTCAGGGCCAGCCCAACAGCACTCAGACTTCACGGGGGTGTAGCCTTGCCCACCGCTGACTAGCTCTGCTGCGGGCAGAGGAGGACGAGAGAAAGAGATGCAGTTTTAAATAGGGCTAGACCTCAACTGCTCAGTGCAGAGAGGAGAAAAGGAGGTCCGGGCCATTTAGAATAGTTCAGGTATTCTCCCTTGACCGCTTGTGGTAGGCATGAAAAGTTTGAGGGACGGCTGCAGCCAACTCACACGCCAATATGGTGCAGGGCAGTGCTGTGCTTTCGAGCATTAATGTGCTCCATCTATTAGCCCCTTGGCACGGAGCATGAGGCACCATGCTTTGGAAGATGCTGATCCTCAGAACCTCCTTGTACTTCATCTGCCCCCAGGGGCAGATATACCATGCTGTGGGCCTGTAATGGAGAGCTGCCGACCAGATGTGGGAAAGCTCTCGGCTCTATTTCAAAAGCTCTGTGTTGTGGCTGGACTGGATGTTGGGATTCCCAGAACAGCACGGGCGACCGGAGTGCTCTTCTGCAGACTGGCAGTGACCTCCCACCTGCTTCTCCCACTCACAGCAGCTAGAGCACTTCGGCACACACAGTCCCTCCCCTGCTGCCCCGTGGGAACGTCCTTCTCGCACCTGCGTGCCCCTCTTTTTTCCGATGCTCTGTGTTGGTTGGTACGCTCCTCCTCTTCTGTCCCACAGAGCCAGCGTCTCTGGTTTGCCTCAGACCTGTTGAAATATTCCAGCTGCATGCCCACTGGAAGTGTGGTCTTCATGGGTTTTTCACTTGCCTTTTATTCCTCCGTGAGCAAATGCTCTCCACATGTCTTAGCCACTGCAAATGGCGCCCTGTTATTTCCTCATGTCCCTGGTGCACCGTGGTTTACAGTGTTAGGAGGATGGGGAAAAAGGGAAAGAGAAAAACTAGCCAAAGGCGATACAGGCAGCTTACGATAGGCTAGAGCAATAATCATCTGAAAGTTTGGGCCTGGCCTTGTTTTGATCTGTTTTCTTGTTTTATTTTCTTCTTTACATTCTATATCCCATTCATACTAATCACAGTCAGTCCTGATTTTTCTTTTTATTTCTGCATTTGTCATAAAATAAAGCAAATTATTCCCGTCTTCAGAAACGATCTAGACTAATTAGTCGTCTCACCCAATAATTAGTTTTTTGTTTCCCTGTCTGTTTTCATGCATTATTGTTAGTTTTTTCCCCTCTTTTTTTTAACACCATTACAGATTAAAATGAGCCACATTTGCAGTTGATGGTATCTGTTTTCGGGGGAAGAATGGAGAATTGCAGTATGGAGCGACTTCAAAAGCAGCAATAAACTCAAGGATAAATTAAGGAAATTGAATGAGCCACATTTGGAAGCAGTGTTGAGGCTAATATTCTGTCGCTTAAGGTTAAATTGCAACTCTGAGAGAGGTTCCGGAGAATCCGAAATTGGGGAAGCAACTTACCACAGGATTCTAGGCATTCTGTGACTCTAAGGTCTTTTCTCAAGTGAAGATTTTGTTGCAGCCTTGGACACTGCAAAAGGTACTCACCTGTGATTATGTCCTCTTCTCCCCCAGGGCTGACAGATGAAGAGATTGATTTGGCTTTCCAGCAGTCGGGCACGGCTGCCGATGAGCCTGCGTCCTTGGGCCCAGCCACACAGGTGGTTCCTGTCCAGCCCCCTCACCTCGTTTCGCAGCCATACAGTAAGTCACCCGCTCAAACTCCTGCTTTAACCTTGATTGGGATTCAGGACTCTGGCCAAAAAGCAGCGCTTCACATCTCCCAGACTCAGTAAGCCAGGAGAAACTAAGCGTAGGAGATGGCGCTTAGGTTTTTCCAAAAGAATGTGACATATCCAAATCCTCTTCTAGACAGACTTCTAAGCAGGTGACAAAGGTTTAAGAAGAGACAAGGGACCAGAATAAATGAGTTTATTGTATTATTTCAAGCATTTTGGTTTCAAGCAAGAGTGTAAAAGTATTCACTGGTTCTGTTTCCATTTTCTTCTATCAGTGCCTTTTGCATGTTACTGTTTTACTAATAAGAACATAAACATTTGATTCATGGGTGCATTCTTGTTTGGTCACTGAAATAACTTGTCTCCTAATTTTATTTTTTGGAGTTAATATTAGTAGATTTAGGCTAGCCTTCCCCACCCCACCCCGCTGTCCTTCCTTCCTTCCTTCCCCTGGCTATACCATGTATATTTATGTGGTGGCAATCTGTCAGAGAATTTTAGAGGAAAATGCGAAACTCCTTTTCAAATGTAGCTTGTAATTATTACATGAGACTATGACCCATGAGAGGTTTTTTTTTTTTATTTTTAAATGAAAGCTACTTTAGGAATAAAAAGATTCTTCAGTAATAAATGTGCACTTCCAAAATATAGGCAGAACCCCTTCTTTTAGTCTCATGAAAAGTCTCAAAAGGTTGAAATTGACTTCAAAGCAATGGAAAATTGCTTGGTTTTGTGTGTTTAACATAAGATCTTAGCCTTGGATCTGCTGTCTTTCAAAATGCCTATTTTGTAATTGTCTTCATTTTAATTGTCTCTCAGAAGTTTTATTTTTTCAAAACATGATTTAAAAGTTCTAGATATCAGATTTTAAAAGGTGCAATTTAAAATGCCAGACTTGTTTTCACCCCCACCACGTGGCCGGGAGCTACCTTCTACCCCCATTTCACTGTCTTCCTCACTGGCTTAGCCACAGCTAGGGAAGTGCAGTCATCCGTGTAGACAGCGCAGGGGCCAGGCAGTGGGTTAGAATCCACTTTGTGTGTCACAGATCTCATTTAGATACGGCCTTTCTTTTGCTCTGTGGATAAGGCTGAATGGGTGAGGCTGGGTAGCATGAACTCAGGTTGATCTCATCCGTGGTTGCACAGGTGTCACGTGACCTCTGAGGCCAGAGCTACCGCGCTCAGTGGGTGAGCCTTGTGCTGGGGCTGCCGAGTCAGCAGCAGCCGTTTGCCAGCCTGGAACTCGTTTCTCCTTCCTGGCTAGCGTTCTGTCCGATCCATTGTGTTGCTTTGGGTCACTGAACTATACTCTGTGTGTCGCGAAGTCTCCACACTTTTTCTTTAGTTGTGTCCCTGGGCTCAGGCGTCTGATGGGATTTGTTGAGGAAGGGCAGTGGCAGCTGGGGTGCAGAGTTTTCTAAGCGGCACATCTGTTCTATTCCAGCTGTTTTCCTCCATGGCTTAATACCAAACAGGTCTCTCGGCTGCTTGGAAACTTCTTGCTCAGAACTCATTGTTCTGGTTGGGCACAAGTTGGCCTAAAACATGCGTTTGCTTACTTTCAGTCGGCACAAAGGGTTAAGCTGCCAGTCTTTCTGAAGGAGGCAGAAGAACGGGGCTGGGAGGGGCAGTTCCGTCATTTAAATCATTCTTCTGCCCAGATCTCTCTGAGAAAAAGCATTACGCAGTTAGGTATTTAGGTGGGAGTATTTTTAAGAATCTCCCAGCCCTAAAAATAAAATACATCTTCTTAGAGACAGACTCCTTCCTGCTTTGACGCTAGTATAAAAACAATGGTAATGGTAATTTTAAGTACCTGAAGTTTTTAGTTGTCACCATGGCGCTTCATTCTTCTTCCACTGTTAACACTGCTCCTTTCAGCTCCCGGATGACTCTACCTCTTCACTTCTGTACTTTTGCCAAGAGGTGTCAAAACTGCTCCAAAAAAAAAAAAAAGCTTGATTTTGATTAATATAGAGAAACAAGACTTTGCCTGACTGATAATAAAACTGATAAATGACATTTGAATTACTTGTAGCGGTAATTTATTACATAAAATATCTTTTATTTGACATGCGATTAGTTGCTGGAAGCATCACTCAATCTGACTAGTTTAAACATGCTCTGAAATGAACCCCAGTAAAAACCAGGGCTGTCTGCTGCTGGCGTTATGAAATATACTAATCCTGGAGTGAGGAAAAAATCTGACTTTAAATATTTAAATGATTAATTGGGTTTATATATTTTTTTACCTTTCTAACCCCCTTAATTACAAGCAAACTCAGGGGAGTTTCTGAACTAGGTGTGCAATCTGCATGCTTATCACCGAGGCATTGTCTGTGTCGAGGAGGGATTTATGGCCTCCATTCATGTGCGTTCCTGCCGATTTTACATCTGGAGCTTGGGCAGCCCTTTCCTTCCCATTTCTTGGCTTTTTAAGGACATTCCATCTCTGAGCCCAAGCCTAGAAAATGGGATTTTTCTGGGCTTAGCCCCAAATGTTCATGTCTCACAGAAAGGTGGCTTTTCTGAAACCACCCCAGGGAGCCCAGTGCTCCCAGATCCTCACCTCTGGACTTGCCCGCCCCCCTGCTCTTGGTGGCAGGTGTCCTGCTCAGTGCTTCTTTTGATATCTCTGCTTTTTGGTGAATGTGGTTGACCTTGAGATGTTAGTAAATGCCAGTGTCAGCAAAGAGAACATGGAGACCTACCGGTTCAATCCATCAGTGTTTATTAAGCACCTGCTGTATGCTCGGTACAGTATTATGAGAGCTTCAAAACATGATCTTTAGGAATCTTACAGGCTCTCTGGGAAAGATAAGACAAACTCTTAAGAAAAGGATAATAATATAAGACATTGTGATTTAATGCCAAAATTAATTATACCGACAAGAAACTCCACAGGAATACAGAAAAGAGAAAAATTAATGTGGGCTGGAGAAGTCAGAGAAAGCTTTGTGCAAGTGGTAGAAGGTTGACACCAAGGGGAAGCGTGGTGTCACCCAGTGTGAAGATAAACCAGTGTTGTCAGGGCCTAAAAGAAAGTCAGGCAGAGCTCAGGGAAAGTCAGGCTGGAATGTGAGAGGAAGTTTGACATCCTCTGTTTCTCATTTTGGTTTCTTTTTGTTCGATTTTGAATCAGGAATCAGTGTGTCTGTGTTTATGTGCAGAGCCTACCACAGTTCTCAACATAAAGTCCTGATAAATGCATGATTGATCCATTCACTCTAAGATGATTTTTCTTCTCTCCTTCCAGAGAGACGAGCAAAGTAACTTTGAGATACAAGCAGGGCCAGTGTGAATTTTGTACGGTAATAATTTTTCTTAGGCTTAAATATTTACGCCCCTCACTGTCTTTGATAAACAAATTAAGCTTTTTCAAAGACTGACCTGCAGCTTCAGTTGCCTCTTCTTAAAATAGGACTTAGATGTCTGAGGTTGGTGGAAGGCTTTGCCATTCAGTAGAAATCCTGAGAGAGAAAGTGTGTTCATTTTCGGTTTGTTTCTTTTATAGCCCTGTTTAGTAGCATAAACTTTCCCTTGATTATCTTAGTTCACTGAGCAAGCATTTATTCTTGAAAGCCTGTTGTGTGCCAGGCACGGTGCTAGACTCTTAGGATGAGCCGAGTAAGAAGTCCTGGCTGTTCACGCTCTGCAGGTGCTCCTGTCTGGTAGGAAAGGTGGCTGAGGGAACACAGCAGTGCTGTGAGGTCAGCCCCGCTGAGGGCGGCAGTGGTGCAGGCAAGGTGAAGGGGCGCTTCAGAGAGCAGGGGCTGCATCACTGGACCTGGGGGATGACTGGTTCAGTGACTAGACAGGATGGACCGGAGCAGCCAAGCTAAAGCAGAGCCATGTGGACGTGAAACCCTGTGATGTTCAGTGGCCGCAGCAGGGGGTAGAAGTATCAGAAGAGTCATTACCCTGACGGACCACAAAGTCACACGGGTTTTTTTTTTTTTCACTTTGAAATGCATCGTTTATTTTTGAGGCCATATTACCTATTTGACCATATTATTCTTAGACTAATATTAAATATTAAAATGATTTGTACCATCCGAGCAGATGCTGCATGGGGAATTGGAGAAGACACCCCAGGAGAGTGTTGGGTGGAGCCAGTGTCCAGATGCTCCCTTTCAGATACCTTCATTCTGGCTTGGACAGAGGTTCCCCTTGCCTTGATCAGTCCCCTGCCCACCATCACACGCCACTGAAATGTGTACTCACTTCCTATTAAACTGTGAGTTCCTTGAGCTCAGAGGCCTTTTTTTTCCCCCTAAATCTATGACCGGAGGCTCTGACTTAACAGGTGTTTTAGAAAATGCTTGTTGAATGAATAAATGGTGGTGGAAGTGTGCTTGAGAATTGAAAGGCTGCTGAGTAAGACCATCAGCTTGGGGGCAGGGGGCGGGGGGAGGGGGGTGGCCAGGTGGCCAGTCGGTGAGGCCTTCTGTGTGCTTGGCCGTGTGGGCTGCAGAAGTAGAGGATAGGCCTTGCCTTCAGGAAGTTTAATGTAAGGGAAGCCCCGGGCTTGGGGCAAGACAGCGAAGACTCTCTGTGCCATCCTGCATGGTGTGAGTGGTGAGAGCTTTCAGGATTTAAAAACAAAGGAGAAATCCCCAGGGTACTGGTGTCAGGCCAGGTCTGTGGAGAATTCAGCGAAGTCGGGGTGGGGCCAGGTGAGCACCTCTAGAGGTGAGTGTAAATGAAGGCTCGAGTGAAGACAGCCTCTCTTTGCCTACCATTTTTCTGTCAGTTTAGCACACAGCTCTCACTTTTTGCTCCAGAGGTTACTGGTTTGTGTATGAAAAAATCATTTCTCTAATTTTGAGGAAATTGTATGTTTTCTCCTTTTGTCCACGTGACTGGTTTAGACTAGCAGCTCTTCAAGGGCTGTCCGTTCTGTTTGCTTTGTGTTATGCCTGGTGCGGTGCCTCGTGGATGTAGAATAAATGCCACATGCAGA